CATATCATTGGGGCAAAATTCTTCTACTAATACTAATATAGAAATTATAGGACTTCAAGGCTTGATTTCTAATGGAGTTTCCTTCCCAGTCTAAAGTTTCGCCGATATCATATTCTCCATGGTAACTGCGAGGCCCTGAGATGCAGGACAAGGGATGGATTTTAATTGTCACCTTAACGAGGTGTAACTCGTTCCTAAAGTCAGCGTTTCCCAAAGTCGATGTCGACAAAGGTTCCGGCGAGTTGTCTGGGAATGTACTGACTAGAAGGAAGGTGTCATGACTGCTATGACATAGCAGTAAGGGACTGGGTACATTCTACAAGATCATACCAACGTAGTCTTTCCCACTCTTTATAATCCCTCTCATCCAATAATCTCTCACTCCATTCCAAAATAATATCACAACAGAGGAAAAGATTTTCTTCATGAAGCCCAAAGACCACACGATTAGTGTCAGTTTGAGATGCACGAAATGTCGGTTGAAACAGGCTACGCCGAGGAATAAGGATTGCTTAATTTAGTGGGCGCTAATCTAAATTATTCATACCCTCGATGCCTAAAAATTTGGATGAAATGGAAAGTATAAGATTGACAGAATATTTTGATAAGATATTCTGGTAAACAGCCTCTGGCACTTTATTTCAGAAGTGCAATGCGTCTACGACCACAATCGTCCAAACGGAGATAGTGAAGTTTTATGCCAACTTTAAATGCGAATGCAAGAAGCCGGAAGCACAGTTCCCTCGTTTAATCGCGTATCCCAAGGGTATAATTTTGAAATAATATATTAGTTTATTTATAATATGAATAAAAATAATTAAAAAAAACTAATATTCTTTAAATATATACATGTAATTATATATACATATTCATATAATTGCTAATAAACGTCTATAAATTTAGATATATCAAAAGATTTAAAAAAAAAATACCTTAGGCTAATGCGATTCGATCTTGCCCCAGCATCTTGCATACCCATCTAACGTTGGCACATATTTATATTATGTATTCATTTTATATTAACATCTATACGTAGATTCATAGATTTGTATATATAATAGGTAATTATTTGTTTACAAATTTTATAGACAAATATATGCGACCCTAGACGAATAAGCGAGTAGCCATGTTTAGAATCGGAAGCTAATTTCTCCCATTTACACGTATAAGGCTAAGTTATATTTTTAGGATAGTATTCTCTTATATTATATATGAAGACAAAGATGTTGTGACCTCTGTTTTAGTCGAGTCTCTGTGGATGAAGGGAAGTTGTCTGAGTTCGTTTTCGCAACTTGGTCGTGCTGTCAGATCTACCTACTTGTCCGAAGTCCTCTGCAACAGAAGTTGTAATAATTCCCAGCGTTGGACCATAAATTTGATAAATTTCGCATATATTATCATTTTTCGTTTATAAGTAGGTTTTCGAGTCTACCAGTAGATCGTATTCAATCTAGTTCGTAAAGTTCATGAAGGACTGGTAGTTGAATTTTCCCACAATAATATGTGTATGTCTTATTTTTCCACTAAATTGTACATCGCTTTGCTTCACAAAAGCTATTCTCATTCAAACAGTAGTGAACTGCAATTCCGACCTCGCGCCATGTTAGTTCAACGTACCCTCTCTACACGTTAACCATTTAGCCACACTGCCACGAGTGCTCTTAGTTTATTGGTTGTCTTTAAGGCCTATTTATAAACGAAAAATAAGTAATGCTGTCGATTGCTCTAACAAATGCAAATTTGCTTCATTGACAATCCCACCACAGAATAAGATATAGCAAAATGCCTGATCTTTCTGGAATTTCTCATCGGCCCTGTGACCCAGAAGCAGTCGTGGCATTGTGGAGTAGTAGTTAACGCGTCGAGATTATACGCTGCAGTGTCACGGTTCGAGTCTCGCTGGGGTGCTGATGAGACCTGGATGAGGTCGAAACTGCAGTTCGCTTCAGCCTTGATGAGAATACCTGTTTGGAAGGAAGGCTTTGTGAAATTTGGTGACTATATCTTAACTACATTTCAAACAATATTTATGTTATAAATTTAAAATACAAATAAATAAATACATTTATGATAGATAGATATTTAAATATATTAATTTATAATTTTTTGTAAGAATAACATTTTATTAAGGTGAATTTATGAAACCCGACTCGCAGTGCAGGGTGAGCCAAGCATCGGTCGGTATGGCAACTGGAAAATAGCCCTAGAAAGATCTGTATCCTGCACTTGTAGCGGATTAATTCGCATCCCACCGTCTTATTTAAGCTGGAGATTCATGATTTTTCAAGGAAAGGCTTGTTTCATTTTCTCCTGCCTAAGGGTCATCTAAATTCTCAACTTGGTTTGGCGAAGAGGATGAGTAACACCTTAAGAGGAGGTTTTGAAATCGGAAATCTGATGCCAAAACGAGTGTCTCTTAAACTCAACGGAACATCTTCCCTTCAGCTCGTCGATTGGTTGTGACCAACAGACCACAGAGTCGGTTGACGAGGGCCAGATGGACAAGGTCTTCAATGAGGGCGAACCAATTTAGGTTCGGCATCGAATCTGGCACTTCGACGCCATTTGTAAAAATCAAGATAGGGTTTTATAGCCCTAGCCATTGTTGTATTGAGGAGAAAGTTTCCACCATCCACTGCCACAATGGAGGCTTAAAAGTGTCAAATGACTAATGTAGGTCTCCGCTTGTCTTGAATTCCCCGGTTGATTCAACCCTCGAGATACCCACACTTTTGTACTGCTGGCAATATGCTAAGCATTATATGGAAGAAGGAAAGTTGGGTTTCGAAGAGTCCCTAAAAACTTTGATTCTACTCGAATTGCCAGTCTGAGGGCAAAGTCGCCTGGAAGGGATTCGCAAATTAGCCTCTCCGGAAACAGAAGGAGGTTCCCTCATTTCTTAACCTTTCTTGGTTCGGGCAGTTGCTGCTATTTTCCCAATCTAGGCATTTGAGTAGTTGGACTTTCTTGCAAACTCCACTAGTCACAACAGCTCAAAGTAGCCTCTTTTTCTGTCTCCGGTGTGGTCAATTCACGACTTCTGTCCAGTCAACTTATCCTCCGAAACAAAAGTTCCATTCACATGCTTCGTGTTCGTCTGCCCTCCGATAGGAACCACTGATAGTTGACCCTCGATCCAGATAACTAGCCGACTTTTGCTCAACCGCCGGCAAAAACTGATAACAATTCAACTGACGTATGGTCTATTTTTTCCTTTTTTAATTTTTATCCAAGCATATGCACACTTGTGTATGTGTGTGTGTTGTAAATGCACATATTTGTGAGCTTAATCAGGGCGTAATACCTGTCTAAAGTAGTACAGTTCTATATTATTATTATTTGATTCAGCTTAACAAATCACAACGATTGAGTAAGTCCGGCCAAGCGTCTGGTTAAGTCGTTGAGCTTTTCGGCTGAAATCAGATGTATGGAGAGTGTGGCATCAATTAGAACCATAAGTGTGGATAGTGGGTATGATTGCTCAACTTCGCCGCTCCCAACCTCTATCCTCTGAGCATCGGTAGTTCTTGCTTAGCTTCATATGCCGATTTCTTGCAATCAGGGTATTCCTCAATCTGCCGGTTTCGATTTTCTCCCTAGCCTTCTGCCCCACAACAGACACACAAACAAACAGACAATTCTGAGGCTGCTCTGTCTCGTGTCCCTTTTCTTTCATGCTCCCAGCCCCCACTGTCTGCTGTACCCTTTAGCATCTACACGCGCCTTTGTCTTCATCTATTCTCTGGCGAATTGAGAGAATGGCCTCCAAAGCATAACAACCACCGCGTGGGCGCACACTTTTGTGGGAGCTTGATTTTGATAAGGGGTCACAACTCCTAATAAAAATGGACATGACTGAAGAAAGTGCCATCGTTTCTGTTTTAACCATTTTGATTCCACACTTTCTCAACAGTCTGTCTGACTTTTTGGGAAAAACGGTCAAGACTTCATAAACCGTCACAAATAGACCGTGTCCTCTATTTTATTTCCCATTAAATAGAAAATTATTCCAACTAATGCCACACAGATGTAAAAGCCTATCCCACTCCTATTCACGCTGGTTCCAGCCTCACACTTTGCATAAACATTTATTCCTTCACCAGCTTGCCCACTCAACATGAAGAAGTCAACAAAATGGACTGCTCTGGAGTTGACAGCCAAAACTGCAAGGACTGTGAACAAAAAGACATCGAAGAGACGAGAAGGATAATCAGCACAAGGATGAAAGAACACCAGCAAGTATGCAAAAAAAATGGAAAACGGAAAGATCGCAGACAGCTGAACACATCGCACATGCCGGCCACACAATTGACTGGCGTCATGTGGGGAAAACACCAGGAAACGGAAGACCACGGAGGCTGTGGACATGCTCCTTGAAAGAGACCGAGTGAACTGGCTGAGCTGACTTGGAGATGCAACGAATACATCAAAAGGAAGAGGCTTAAGACCAGGACAACTGTTCAACCGCAACAAGAGACGTCCCCAAGGAGCGGCTGAAGAGAAGAAGGAGTCGGACATAGAAGTGACCAAAAATGTACCAATGGGGTTCACCTGCGTGATGTAGGATATGCAATGTGAGACTAGATAGAGGTCACCAATGTGCGTGCGTTGGTGGTGTGTGTATTTTTCATATCTGTGTCGGTAGGCAAGGTGACTGATGCCAACCAACCAACACACACACACACACACAGGGACATCATCCCGGTACCCTGGGAATGTCATCTTGAGGGACGAGAGGAGTGTGTTTTTCGCGATTCAAGTGGAAAAATGGAAACTGTGCATTCTCACACGAGCGGTTATCACTTAAGCCGGACACAGGGCCCCAAAGAATGATTCACAATGTGGGTGTGGATGAGGGAGAGGATAATTGAGTCACCGTTTCCCAGGCACTGACATGTGCATGAGCATGAGCATGCGCATCATCTTCTCCAACTACTCGAGTATGGCGTAATCGAGGACGGCAATGGAAGGTTTCTAGGCAGCCAGATTTCGGACAGCGGTCAATTGACGAGCGGTTGGGAAAAAGGGGGCAGAATGTGGGCCAGGAGCCCCGCAAACGGCATCTGGTACCGGTGGCGGAGATGATTACGCTTCACTAAACCCACTTGTAGCGACACGTTCATAGGCGACATTGGAGGAGAAGAAGACACAGAATTGTGTGAATTGTGTGGGGTTAAGCGAAAGAGATACAGAAATAGAAGGTAGAACAAACAACGGTTGGGCAGAAACTTGGTCAAAGGGATTGCCTTCACTTGTCCCTTTGTGCTGACGGTGGCGCCTCTCCCGTTGCTGGCGCTCACTTTGAGAAGGTACCAAGTCAACAGTCCGATGTTGGAGATTACGAGTACTCTGGCAGATGACACGCGACTAGGTACGTTCCGCCAAGTTGCCAAAACGAGGTGGAGGCAATACTTAAAAGAGTTAACTTGCAAGAAAAAAGATTATAAGAAGCTTTATTCAGCATATTTGTTTGAGATTGTGAATATCTGTTGGTTGAATCTTCCCACAATGGTATGATTAGGTCTTAGGTTTCTATACAACTTCAGATTGCCTTGATTCTCCAAAGGTGTTATCCTTCGGGATCGACTGTGGTTTCTACCCCACTTAGGTCTCACCAGCGCCCATAGTGGAAACACAAAGCCTACTCATATGATTGTGGGAAAATTAAACTTTATCAACTTAAGCGAAATAGCTGTCTCGTAAATAAGATAATCTGGTAGACATCTTGACAACGGCCCCCCCCAGATTATTTGTCCCGGCTCATCCCTTCCAGGGATGTTCATGCACTACTGCTCCTCTTGTTAGTAGTATACAATGATATAAACTAAGCGCGATTCCCTTTGGTTGTTGCATAACACGACCTGAAGACCCCGGCTTCGACTCCCACTGGGCTCGCGGCTCCAGAACGGTCTCAAGCATGGCAAAAGAAAATTCAGACCCAAACTCATGCATCTTCTCCTCCCATTTCTCGTCCGCGTGTCTGTTTGCCACTTCCTACCTCCCGTGCGCGTGGGGTCTGTCCGCGCTTCAAGTTCAGTTAATATCCTCCATACACCCCACCTCGGTACCAGCACACATGCCTACACACTCGCCACATTCCGCATACTCTCGCGACTCAAGCGCCAGATCGGCACCACCCAGGGTGGAGCTGATGGAATGTTAGTAGCAGCAACCGAGTAACACAGTATCAGGGCAACATGTGATTATGAGTAGTCCTTGGTGGAAGTGTAGAACTTGGCTTTCTAAGCAAAACAGCTACTTACTGTACCTGCATTTAGGATCTATGAAAAATTGCCCAGGTATGTTTATTCGTATGACACACCATTTGTCCTCAACCCGACCAGGTTTTACGACCTTAACCGATGCGTCTATAGGCTGGCTCTTTCCACACATCCGCCCATAGGCTATAGGACTACACGATTTCTCGCTGTCATGACAACACAGCACATATAAGGTGGTTGTTCTGGGCATGTTGTTATGTCCACCTCAACCAAATTGTCTATTGTAGCCAATAAACTTGTGCAAATGCATATGAGTCGGTGAGAAACAACACTTGTGCAGACAGACAAATCACATCAAGTGACCTCATCACCTTATTTTTCATGACTTTGATTTGGCCGACATTCCTGTCCTTATTCTCTATTTGCACTTTTGAGAGCAGCCATATTTAGACTTGCGATCATTTTGCCTCCTTAATTTCTGTCTTTTGCTCAGCCTTCCTAGTTCCGGCTGACTTGGATACAGGAATCCCCGACATTGGCAATCAGGCCATCTTGGGGTGTATTCAATGGAACTTTCTTTATCCGATTTGTCCAATAAGCCGTAATTTTTCATCACACAGTTGAATGGTGGGCCAAGCACGACGAAAATGCATTTTCTCGTTTTGACG